TAAATAATCTCTCTTCCTCTGTAGGGAACTCTGCTGGATGTGGATGGACCTCAGCGAACTCTCAACCAGAACTTAGAGCTCAGATTTCAGTATAGTGAAGACAGTCGTTGGCAATGGTTTGTTATTTACACCAAACAGGTGAGTTCTCAGGACAGAGCATGAGTCCCTGTGCTGAAATGCTCTCTTGCCTGCTGGGGTGAACAAAGCACATTATCCTAACCCATCCAGAGCAGAGTTCTAGAGTACACTGTACACTCCATTTTTGGCCTATAATACTGCTTAATTTGTTTATTTTTTGTTTTATTCTATTAGTCACTGCAGCCTTCATGTCAATTTGGGAAATGCATTAAGTTACTAAATAACAGAAGACTCAACTAATCGTGGCTCAGACCGAGGGCTGGTGAACTTTTTCTCAAAGGGCCAGATGATAAATATTTTAGTTTTGGGATCCATATGGCCTCTGTTGCAACTACTCAACTCTGTTGTTGGAGTGCAAAAGTAGCCCCAGACAATATGTGAACAAATAGGTACAGCTGTTTTCCAACAAAAATGTGTTTGTAAAAACAAGTGAGGGGCTGGATTTATTGATCTCTGACTCAGACAATATAGATTTTTATCATCTACACTTAATAAGAATACTAGAGGTAGATGATTGACATCCCTATCATAAAAGCTATCCCTTTTATCTAGATGGCAAAAACTTTGCCTCTGAAGCCCCCACAGACTTTCCATTAGGTCTCATTGGTCAGAGCTGGGTCACATGACCACTCCTAGCTGCAAGGGAGTCTGGGAATCAAGTCTTACCAAAAAGAACAGAATTTGTGATCAGCTTAGAGTAAGCATGAGCTGGGCACTTTGTCATCAGACAAAATCAAGGTTCTGCTGGGAGGGGAGAGAGCTGTTGGGGAGCAAACTCTCCAGGTCTTCCATGGGCTTATAATTAAAGTTGGAACAAACATTTTGTTTTTAAGATTTCATTTTCTAAACAACAAATTCAATTGAAAAATTCTATGAACTAACTTAAACTATTTCAAATTGGAATCAAAATTACAGATATTCTAAAACGAAACCAAAATATCAAAGCAATCTTTGTGTCAGCATTACATTCAACTTAAGTCACTGGTGATCTCACTACATTCCAGGGAGCATTCTGGTTTCAGGTAACCAAAGGTCCCTGAGAATCCCTACCTCTCGTATAGTTGCAAATCATGATATACCACACACCAAAGTCCTCTGAAAAACATGAAGTGCTAACCAAAGTCTAGATTAAAGAGATGGGCCCTCAGTTTCACCTTGAATATGAAACATCCTTAGGGAAATGGTAGGATGGTTTGCAGTCACTTGGAGAGATGCAAGGTAGATCTTGGCAGTGAAATCATTTCCCCTTGCCTAGAATGCTAACTGCAGTAGTTAAATTTTATTATCATCTTTTAATCTAGTCTGTACCAAATGAGTTGAAGCCACTATACAGAGTGTAATAAACATTCTTTTAAAGGATTCCTAGTAGGGTCTTATTTCCTTTGGAGTGTGGATTTATTGATATGTACCCAAGAGCTATGTATGCAAAAGGCAGAAATACAGCTCGTTTGCCTTGCAAACACAAATGAGGACTTGGACCCCAATATCTTCTAGATTCTTTAAAGAAAAACTCAGTGCCTTCATATTTAATAAATCCTACCTGATTTATAGCTAAGTCTTAACGTACATATCTGTGCACATTGTATAGGAATATGGAATCGGTTCACACCTTACGGGGCATTATTAAACACCTCTCCTACCTGTATCAACTCAGATTATATTGTTTAACTATTTCATACCCTGGTTTTGTGTAGGTTATATATGTACACAGATAAACAGGGTTAGTTCTTAGCTAAACCAGGAAATCAAAATTTGTTTTTGTGTATAAATCCCACATCTGTTACTCTTTTCCTTATTGGTAGCAGTACCTTTCTTTTCTACTTCCTTTCTCTCCCCTTAAATAAAATAAATTCCTGTCATGCTCTACAGTCCTGCAAGACTTTGAGATGCTATCTGTATGTAGCCATTCTCCCTCTAATTCTACTTTCTATGTCCTATCCTCCAAGGGTCTCTGCTTTGGCTACCATCCCGACTTGGGTTTTCTCTCTTCCCCTTCTTCTCCTCTCCATCATCCCTCCCCCCACCCTCCCCAGTGCAGTGACCATCCTTGAGCACAAACTTATGGTAAGTTCCTATGACCACAAGCTTTGAGCTTTGTTGTCTCAAACTTTCGTAGGGCCAAAGGAGAAAAGTACAAGCCAAGAATTGAGAGCAGAACAAAAGAGAAAGAGGATTCGTGGGAAAGAAGCAAGTGGGGAAATCGTAGGGAACCTTAAATTGCCACATGGGGTGAAGATCTTGGAAAAAGGAAACCCTAGCGTTTGTATGACAAGATGTCTAATGTCTGTGTCTTGGCACTAACAACGACGAGCCAACAAAAAGCCACAAGTGATATTGGGGGCAACCATCAGTCTTAAAAGTGAGTGATTAAAGATACCAGAAAAAGGGGTGCCTGGGTG